GAGGACGAGGCGCTCGAGCAGCTGGTCGGCTCGGCAGGCGTCACGGTGACCCTGGTGGACGGCGACGAGGTGTTGACGTCCACCGTCCAGCTGGGTGGAAGCGGGGAAGAGGGCTCTGACGAGTCCTGGGCGCTGAGGGACCTGCTGCTCCTGGCGCTGCGTGGCCAGGGGAAGGAGGAGGAGGAGGTTAGTGGCCACGGGATGTCGAGCTTTTGCTACAGTCGACATATCTGCCACCCGCCGCCACCTGTACACTTTTTTCCCCTCCAGTTCTTTCCGTTTTTCGCGCCACCCGACACACCGCCGGAAGAGTCCACGCTGCCCTTCGGACACGGCGGCGTCCCCTTTGACGTGGACCCCGCCGAAGGGAAGAAGAACCAGTCTCAACCGGGACCTGGGCCGCCCTGCTTGGACGACGAGGACCTTCACGCACCCATGGCGGCTCTGGCCGAGGACACTGAGGACGCTGACCCTCCGCCCAGGGCGGACAGCCCGGGGGAGGTGGGTGTAAGCACGAGGGTGCCGGTGAGATCGAGTGAGAGTCACCTCTTCTACGAACCCCTTTGCTCTTCTAATTCCAGGTGCGAAAGTTAACGGCGTTCGACTGCGCCGGCGCCGGCAAGCTCGAGGAGCTGAAGCGCGTGGCGCCAGACCTGGGGGAGCTGCAGGGGACGAACCTGACGCGCGAGCACCTCGAGGTGATCCAGGGGATGGCCAAGCTGCGACGCCTGGACGCCGTGGGCCCGCAGATGTGGTCAGACCCGTTTCTGGTGCCGCCACTGGCGCACGACGGCGGCCTCGAGTTCCTCCGGGTGGGGCTGTCCGCGCTCACGGCGGCCTCCCTCATCTACGCCCACAACCGCACCCTGCGCCACGTCCAGGTCCTGCTGCCCCTGCATTGCCGGCCCAGTGCCTGCTTCGAGACCCTGGACTACCACCTGGGCGGCCACGTCACGGAGCACATCCTGCGGAGCCCGTGGTTCCCCCGCCGCGAGCCCGGCGACTTCCCCGTGCTGGAGCGCGTCGAGTTCATCGAGGAGCCTCGGTCGTCCTACGTCATGAACGCTTGCTGGATCGTGGGGAAGGACATTGACAGGGTCGAGAGAATACTCCCGGGGGTCCAACTAAAGCATACATGCCCGCTGATACCATTTGACGAGTCTGAGAAGGACTTGGAATACATGCATTTGTTTTTTTAAAAACAATTACAAGCACGTAAACTGGGACTTCCCCGAACTGATGTGCGTTGAGATGTCAATCATGGATACTTTGATACCCGATCTCCACTTCACGACCTACTGAGATTTAGCAGATCCATGTTTGGCGCATTCCATTTTGAGTGCCTTTGTCTTAAGAAATGTGTTCATATTAGTTTTTTACTCTGTAAAAAACTTGAATGTATCATTTTTTAAAAATTGCATGATAAAGTGCATATTTTCAATAGACCCTGTTATGAACGTTTTCCTTGGCTATGTAAATTTTATTTTATCAGAGTCCAGCGTAGTTAGCCGTAGGAAGTCAACCCCTTGCTCTACAAGTGGCGTGTGTGCATGGCCTACAGCCTAGCCTGGGCCTGGCTCCACTACTTTCCACCAAGAATATAGACGTTTCCACTCGCGCCACATCTTTCCACTGAGAAGATAGGCGACTTCACTATGTTGACCCTGCTCTCCGCTTCTTGAACGAAACCCGCGAAGAACTTGCAGATAACAGTATCGAGATATCGATATCGAGCCCTTTCCCCTTCCCTCCCTTCCCCTCTTCACCTCACCTCACCTTCCCCCTCCCCCTCACCCACCCGCGCCGGAAGGAGCCGACTCCAATATTATCTTTAGACCAGTCAGTTTTTCCCGATGCATTGAGAAGAAAAGTGCTAGATTGAAGCGGTTGCGTTGACGTGTCTCCAATCTCGTCCCGATATGGCAACCCATAGGGACATGAGGTAACCTGAGATGCTAACTACATTTCAACGTATTTGATGTGCCGTTTTTAAGTGAAAATGTCAATTTCTTGAGGTTATGAGACACGTACTCCAAACCACTATTCTTTCTCCTTTGTCCAAAATTTGGCAATGTACTCCGCCTCAACAATTTTTGAGCTCCTCTGAATACACAATTGTTTTCCCGATCGCGGCTGATTCGAGGATGTTAAGTAATGTATGGTAATATATTTTCTTGTTTGCATTTTTTGTTACAGGTTTTCATTGATAGCTTTGGCAGCTGTCTTTTGCATCCTTGTGGCCAATGTCCTGTCAGTGGACAGGAATAATTTTAGGACCTGCGATCAAACCAGTTTTTGCAGGTGAGCAATTTGTTTTTCATTTCCTTGCTATTATTTTAAATTCGTATGAAAACCAGTCTTGTTTTGTCTATTGCAGGAGATGCAGGGGTGTTCAACCTGGGGCTTCGCCCTACCAACTCAACTTAGATTCTCTTCAAACAACAGCTTCCTCTGTCTCTGCTGAAATTCTAAATTCTGTCCTGAATGTGAAGTTCGTGTTCCATTTGTATTCTTTGGCAGACAATACATTTAGAATGAAAATAAATGAGCTATCCCCTCTAAAACCTCGCCATGAAGTAAATTTTGTACTCAACGGAGAGCCAAATTATGTCAGGTAAATTAAATTCTGGTATATATAACCTGTTTGTAATATCTTTGTTCTTCATTCTTTTGACCTCGTTTTTATAAATTTCCTCAGTTCAGATGGCACTAATATTGGTCTTTTTTTCTTGAAGGCTTGAAGTACTGGAAAAAACGTCAGAAAAGGCTGTTGTGAAAAGTGGAGAGAACAAGGTTGAAATCTTTGCTAATCCATTCCGAGTAGATGTGTACAGAGGCACTGAACTTTTAATCAGTACTAATGCTCGTGGTCTAATGCGCTTTGAGCATCTGCGCCCCAAACCTGCCCCGTAAGTATTTACACATTCTTCTATTGCACTTTTGTGGCTTAAATGAAACTGTACTTTATGACTGACATTGCTCTCCAAAGGAAACCTGAGACTCCTGAAGGAGAGGAACAAGCAGCAGTTGCTCCTACTGACGACACAGAGAGTGACCCAGGTGCCTGGGAGGAGAACTACAAGTCTCATCATGATTCAAAGCCTAATGGTCCTTCTGCTGTTGCCATGGACTTCACTTTCCCAGGAGCAGAACAAGCCTATGGTGTCCCCCTTCATGCTGACTTCTTTGCCTTAAGAAACACCAAGTAAGAATGTTTGTGATGAATTCCCTCGCATTATTGTTTCTCCAAATAACTTTTGTCTGGAATAACTTGTCATTATTTATGTTTTCTCAGAGGCATTGACCCATACCGTCTCTTCAATTTGGATGTTTTTGAGTATGAACTTGAGAATGGCATGTCTCTGTACGGTGCTATTCCAGTGCTGTATGCCCATGGGTGAGTGCTGTTTTGTGTTTTGAATTTGCTTTTGTCTTTTAATTTGTTTCAGCCGAATTAATTTTTCTTTACATTGTTGCTTGTTTTTAATCAATTATTAAAACTATTTAGTACAATTTTTCAATCTGTGCATTGTCTCATATAATATTACTGTTTGTTTGTAGACTCAAGGAATCTGCAGGAGTATTTTGGCTCAATACAGCTGAGACCTGGATTGATATTGCAAAGCCTGATGGAGAGAATGTGGTCTCCTCTATTGTTAACTTAGTGTCTGGCTCTGGTCAAGAACCACAGGTTGACGCTCATTTCATGTCAGAGTCGGGTATTGTGGATGTGTTTTTCTTCTTGGGCCCAAAGCCTTTGGACGTGTTCCGTCAGTATTCTGCTCTCACTGGTTCAGCTCCCTTGCCACCTGTAAGATATATGTTCAAAAATGTAACTTTTTTCCGTAAGTGACTCTTTTATTTTAAGTTATTTGGTTGTAGCTTTTCTCGCTTGGTTACCATCAATGCCGATGGAACTACAATGATGAGGATGATGTTCGTAATGTAGCATTGGGTTTTGATGAACATGACATACCTATGGATGTCATGTGGTTGGATATTGAACATACTGATGGCAAAAAGTAAGTTTTTATGCAGATACTATTTGACCCTGCTGCAGTGCTTAAGAAAAAGTTTTACAGAACTTTTGACTTACTTTTCTTTATCTTCAGGTACTTTACTTGGGATCCAGTCAAGTTTGCTCATCCTACCGATATGATTAACAATTTAACTGCCATGGGCCGTAAATTAGTCACAATTGTGGACCCTCACATCAAAAGAGATGGAGGTTATTTCTTGCATCAAGATGCCGAAGCAAATGGATACTATGTTAAAAACAAAGATGGAAATGATTATGAAGGTTTGGGTTATGGAATATTTATCGCCTTTCAGACGAATAAATAGTGAAGGTTTATGTGGTTTTATTACAAGCCGCTTTTCTGCAGGATGGTGTTGGCCTGGATCAGTAAGTTATCTCGATCTATTCAACCCAGTTGTGCGTGAGTACTATGCAAGCCGCTATCTTCTCTCAAATTATGTGGGCTCTACATTGGACCTGCATATTTGGAATGACATGAATGAGCCTTCTGTGTTCAATGGGCCTGAAGTTACCATGCTGAAAGACAATATTCATTATGGAGGATGGGAGCACAGAGATGTACATAACCAGTATGGTTTTATGCAGGTTAGTAGATACTTAAGTATATTACACATTGTAACTTTATTAGCTAATTATTTGTGTAACTCAAAAACTTTACCTTTGTTTTAGCACATGAGCACCTACGAAGGCATGGTTAAGCGTTCTCAAGGAACGCTTCGTCCATTTATTTTGACCAGATCATTCTTTGCTGGGTCTCAAAGATATTCAGCTATGTGGACTGGTGACAACCTTGCTGACTGGGGCCATATGCGCATGTCTGTACCAATGTGCCTGACCATGGCTGTATCAGGGTACTCATTTTGTGGTGCTGATGTTGGTGGCTTCTTCAAATATCCAGATGCTGAACTTTTTGCCCGTTGGTATCAAGTAAGTATAGAATAAAGGGATGAATTCCTCCTATTTTTACTCATTGTATATGTTACTGTTAGATATTCAGTGTGGTTATGAGTTGATTTGGATTTCCCTCTACCAAAGTATTTGCAAGTTCCAATTGATTTTCCCGTTTTTTAGCTTGGAGCATTCCTACCATTCTTCCGCGCCCACTCCATAATCGAATCTAAAAGAAGAGAACCGTGGTTGTACAACCCTGACACTACTGCCGTGGTCCGGCAAGCAATTCGCCGACGATACAACTACTTGTCGCTGTGGTACACACTCTTCTATGAGCACTCGCGCTACAGCACGCCTGTGATTCTTCCTTTGTATGCATTGTACCCTAAAGATAAGGATGTATATGCCATCGACAATGAATTCCTTGTTGGTCAGTACTTTTTAATTAGCACTGTCTTTGGATGGTTGTATTTATGCAAGTATGTGGAAGTGCTAACTGTTCTGTTGTGTAGGTGATGCGTTGCTGGTGCACCCTGTTGTAACATCTCAGGCCTCAGAGGTCCAAGTAGTTTTCCCTGGTGAAAATGAGCGTTGGTATGAGACTGAAACTTTTGAACTGTTCCGGGGACGCTCTACTGTCAGTGTGCCTGTTGATATGAATAAGGTAAACTACTGAGTTGAATAGTTAAAATGTTTTTCTTTACCTTGACCGTTTTTCTTGTTATTTCTTTTAAATCTTAAATTTGTTATGACTTCTTGTTACAGATTCCTGTTTACCAGAGGGGTGGTACCATAGTTTCAAGGCTTGAGCGTGTACGCCGATCGACAGCTTTAATGCACAATGACCCATACACCCTGGTTGTTGCTCTCGATGATAAGGTGTGATTTTCATCCACCAGTAATTTCTTGCAACTTATTGGAGTTAACTCAAATTAAAACATTCTCTATGTATCATTTTGCAGGGCTTTGCCAAAGGAACCTTATACATTGATGATGGAGAAACTTTCAAGTACAAATCTAATGAGTACCTCTACATTCAGTTTGAATTTAGTAATAAATCACTTAAAGCTAAGTAAGGACATTTTTTTTACTGCTGCTCTTTTTTACTTCATTAGATCTTTATTGAAATATTCAACTGAATTACATTTTTCTTTTGCACAGGTTTATTGATAAGAAAGCTCACTTTCCCTCAAAGGCCTGGATTGAAAGGGTTGTCATCTTAGGATTGAACAAGAAATTAAGTTCTGATCCCATTGTTAAAAGCAAAAGTATGTATTTGTATTATGAATACCTTTTTTAAGATTAGTCACATTCTTCCAATTCATTTTTTTATTTTTCTGTATTTCAGGTGTAGGAGAGCAGTCTTTGAAGTTCTCAAGTGATGATAGCTATAATGTTGTGGTGGTGCGAAAACCTGGAGTGTCTGTTACTGAGGAGTGGACCTTATCATTTTCATTTTAATTACGACTTTGAATTTTTTAACTAATTAATTGATTGTCCCTATCCTCCGAAAGCTAAT